GCTGAACACAAAAAAATATAGAGACTATAATTATGAGCAGATCTTGGTTTTTACATAATTTTTACAAAAAATTAACTTGTCGTTCCATAATTATTGTATTTAACTCCGTGTAACGTCTGGTATTTCGTAATTTCAAAACATCTTTGAGAACACCATTTTGGCACGATTCAAGAGATTTAAACCATATCGCTGGGCTTTAAGAAACCGAAAATCGATTCCAAGACTAGAAGAAACTTCTTACGTTCATTGTATGACAGAAGGGAGTACTTTGAAAGTAATGGAATATATGTAATAGAATAAATAAAAGTTTTATTAGCTATATGTAAACAACTTCATCCTATTATTTTATTACAATCTTACATATCTAAGCGTTGTCTAAATTGTTTATATTTTTATTACACGCAAATTTAAATTTGTTACATGTATAAAAACTCTTCAGTAAATTTCAAGGATTAATGGACAAATTTTTTACTTATTTTTATTAATTATAGGGTCATTGTGAATGCATAGCAACATTAAAGTTGCATACAAATTTATTTTATCTTGAATTTTATATGATAAAAAGAATAATCTCTCAATTGTTTGACATACTCTTTTCTACTTTATATTTGAAACTTCATTGAAATATTTAAAATTTATAATTAAGATTAATCTTAAAAATAAGATTAAAAAATAAGATTAATCTTAAAGCAAGATTGAAATCATATTTATATCTTTGTAACTAAATTTATATTATATTGTAGGTGTCAACGTCGGAACTTTATTTTTTACTCAGTAATTCATCTTAATGCCACAAGCGTGATTCTTTTCCTGATATTTCTGATTTCTTTATTAAAATTAATATTTTGTAGATTTAAAAACATATTGAATTTTTAATGTTTTTAAGGATATTGCTGTACGATCTTTTCTCTTTTCAGAAACAATTTTATTCGTCACAACTGTTATAACCATTGTTATTGATTGTAGGGCAGAACTATTTTCTTCTGAAGTACATAAACACCAATTATTAAGACTAAGTCCTTTCAAATGCATCTATCACATGAACAGGGCAATAATGAGTAATATAGAAACATATATATTTAACTACCTCTAAAATATTCAATGTAATTTAGTTCTAAAAAGTACTTTTGTTCCTTTTTAAATGTTATTCCAATAGAATTGAACAAAAATAATACAAAACATTTAAGTTTCACCAGTTTATTATGAAATGTTTAGTATTTATTTTCTTGCTTGGTTGCGAGCCATGTCCTTGGGAAAACTCCTAACTGGTGGTGTACGAATACGTCTAGCTTCCTTTGATCTATTTCTAACTACTTTAGAGTGAATAGCGCAGGATACACAGTAGTGCAATTTAGCATACAGTTTTGGTAAAACATAAGCTAAAAAATAAAACAATAAAATAAATACATGTTTAAAAAATTTAATTTCTTTTACGTACTTTCCCAAATTGAAGCTTCCGATATATCACGAACTGCAGCAGCTTCGACAATATTACGGATGACAAACTTTTTGATTGCCTTATCCTTTGGAACGCAACGAGCACAGTTTGTGCAACGTACTGGTTTTACGTGACCGCGATTGTGTTTACAACGTCCTCCATTACGGCGTTTCTTAGTCTAAAAATAAAAACTTTAATTATCTTCATATAAGTACAATATTTAGAAGAAAATGTTTTTTCGCACAACCCAATTTTTAAGACTGTAACATTGCAATGAAAAACTTTAATTAACAAATGTTTGCTTTTATACTCATGAATCAAAAACAGTTTTTATGGTTATGTTACTGTCGCTACAGCAAGGTGTTGGAACGTAAGCGTTAAAGCGCTTATAAGTGACCCAAAGACCGATCACAAAAATTTCGAATAACGTATAAAATTTTTAATTTTAGGAACACACATTTCAATTATTTACTCATACAATAAACTAGAAATTCACAGCACATTTTTATTTTATTAAAAAACTTCTAAAACATACCATTTTGCTACTACTTTCAATAACCGGAAGAAAGAAAAAGAACTATGTTGCCATGAAGTTAGCTGCACAACGCAATTTAGAGGCGGTAGTAGTGCCAAATCAAAATGAAATATTTTAAAGACAAGAAGTTTACACAATAACAGAATTACACAAAACAAACATATATCTGATACTTACTATTTTTATTTTATTATTATTATTTATAAATGTACATCATTTTGTAATTATTTAGACCAAAAAATTTTTGTCAAAATGAATATTTGAAGTAATGTCATAAATATAATTCAGTATATTTTGTGTTATAACTGGACAATTATTAAAAGTTTAAAAGGTAAATAAAAAGGTAAAAGGTAAATATCAATAAGCATTTGTTAATAAAAATTTAAGTATATAGATTTATCACCATTTTGACTTTAAGAATTTAGCAAACAGTGAAACAAAAGAAAAACGAAATATTTTATTTTTGTTTTTATATTTCATTCTAAATTAGTTCGCCGTTATATATTTTAATTATTCAGAATTAAATTTTTAATGTAAATAAGTAATTTGCTTTTAATATGTTAAATATATGAATATATTGAATTAAATGGAATACGGATCACAGACTAAATACATTTACTGCTACGTTTTTGATTACAATCTAATTTTATATTTGTTAAAAATTTATTTTAATTCGCATAATTATTTTTTTTTATCAGTTTATCAAAACTTGTACCCATAATTTGTATATTTAGTACTATAAAAGCGCAAGAATGAGTTATTTACATCAATCTATCAAAGTTATACACTTTAATACACAAAAACGAAATCATGAAAATACGAAAATCATGAAAAAAATTAAAACAGAAAGTACAGAAAGTACTCTCAATTCATCAATGGATTACAATTATAAACCTAACTTCTCTTTATACTTATATATCACTTATGACATATTCAGCACTTCATTTATAACAATAATAACATAGCAATATACATAATGCATAAAATATTTTCTAAATATATAGCGCTGATTTTGTACTTTAATGAAAATGAAAATATATAAGCTATATTTAAATTTGAAAATTATTTATTAAATTCCGTTTATTTTAATTCAGCCGGAAAGTTGAAACCTATCTAAAGAAAATATTTTTCCATCTAATTTTACAAATTTTGTATTGTCAATATAATTTAAATTGTAACTCAGCTTACTGTGATTAAGTATCGACAGCCACATAGCTATATAAAAGTAACATTTTTCATAAAAATAAATATTTTTTAAAACAATTTGTAGCATATATTTTACATGTTAGAATTCTTAAAATGGTGATGGAATGCGGCTACCCTTAGAATTATTAAATGACCGAAAACAAAACTGATAATCATATGTTATGGTACATCTTTCAAAGTTTTTAAAATACAAGTATAAGTTATTAATATATGCTAAGTTTCCGTGGCATATGCTAAGACGGTGAGATTAATGGTCTACACTATCCCTAAAATATGACGAAGTTTTTTTATATAATATAAACAATTTTTTTTATTAATTGTTGTCGTAAGAAAAGTTTTGTTATCAAAAACACTCCCTTAAATTATTCTCTGTTTATAACAATAAGAAGTTTAACATCATTTTTAATCCCATATTAGTTAATATCCATAATTCGAATCAATTTAAGCTTATATATTTTAAAATAATATAGATACTATTGTATATTTAAATAAATACAGTTAGATTTTTTTATTTTAATTTTATTTCATGAGTATAAGTCGATATTAAAATAAGATCTTATTTTTTACTCATGTATTTATGTATATTTAAAGATTTAATTTTACATTTGAATATATACAAAATTTTTGGAATCAGTTTGCGTTTCCTTTTCTTTATTCATCTTGATAAATATAGTATCAATGGAAAATAGAAGAGCACCCAAGAATGTTAAACTTCCAAGTATTAACACATAAAATTGAATATCATTTGGCATATATTCTATAGATGCGAAATTTAAAAATGCTGTAAATCAAAATTATAATAAAAAAATTTTATACAATATTATTATTTTATTGATTTGTCAACGAATACAATGCATAAATTGATGTTAATTTTTAAATAATAATTTAAAAATAAAAATATTTGTCCCATCTTATAAATAATTATTTATTGACTTCCAAAATGTTTATATTTATTGAGTTTATTTAATTTAATTTACTGTAATTATATACTTTCACCGATTTTGTTAAAAATTTACCTTCTATTATGAAGAAAATTGCGCCAGCTATTGAACATAGTTTTTCAAAACTTACGCTGATATAGTTCGCACTACAAATATAAAAACTAATATATACATATATTTTTAAAATATTAAGAAAATAATACCTTGATAATAGAATTAACAATGTAATCAAAGCAAATCCTCCATATGTTAGAATACTGAAATCTCTGAATTCCTCCGTCCAATAAATTCCTAACAATATATTTTTTTCATTTGAGATTTTTTGATTTCTTAACAGTAACCTCTGAATTTGATAATCTGTGTATTTTTTTAAAAGCAGGCATGAGATGCAGAGAATCTACAAAGTTAATTAAACAATACAGTTTTCCAATAAATGAGAAGAACTTCACTTTAATTCATTTAATAGTCAGTCAAATTAATTTTCTGATTTTCTATTATTTTATAGTAACTAATGATCATCGATATATAATTGTTCATTTTGGTATCATTTTGTATAAATTTTATTTGTTTTATATAAAAACCAATGACACAAAATAGTTTTTATTCCTAAAATCAGATTCAAATTTGACTTACAAATTCAATCAATTTATTTAAAACTCTCATTATTATTGCACCTTTATACTATTAGTTACGAACCAACTGAAGAACAAAATTTATTTAAGTTTTGTAACTACGAATTTCATTTATTACAAAAGTGCAAGTTAACCACTAAAC